AGCTGGTGGAGGGGCAAACACAATGCTCCGAGTTGCCAAGGAGGTCCTCACAACTCAGACGGCAAGACAGGTGAACCACTTACTACTTCAAGATGCTGAATGTTCAGATCATGAGGATGATAATCCTGTGTGAGGATCTGGCATTTCGTCTGGTGATGCTCAAGATGATCTAAGCAAAGTAGTTCGAGTTTGTAGACTGTTTATTCTGGATGATGGTTTTTTGTCTATTGGCTGGTTGTATGTTCTTTTTCAGCTTTCTGGCGACTACGGCTACTGTGAGGTTGTAGCACTCCTTTTGGTTAATAGGGTACAAGGTCAGTTTAGGTCCTTTGTTTGAGCGTCGATGCTCAGTTTCCCTGCGTGGTTATCTGCATCATCTAAACTTGCTGTTTTCTGTTCTCTGTCTAGTCTGTAATCTTGCTGAATGCTTTGTATTTCCGTTCTTCGTAATGAAAATGGCTGGTTCCCGCGTGGAAAAAAAAAAGATGCTTCGCAGGCGGTACATGTTACTTGCATGCGCGCTTCATCAGCAATAAGCGGAATATAGCGGATATATATACTACAGTACATACATCCATGGATCGAGAGGACAAATAACAAATTCGACTTCTGCTTTAGAACGGGAAAACAAAAAGAGGTAACTGAACTTGCACAAGCGGCGGCATGCATGTGCATCATCGTCATCATCTTCAGATACATTATATTCACCTTGCTCTTATTTTTTTTAAAACGACTTCCATTCACTTTGATCTTAGATTAGCCAAGAAAATACTTTTCAAACTGATCTTAGTTATATTAAGGAGGGCACGGATGAAACATGAAAGCTAGGTGATGGATGACATGACGAGTCTATTTGCATAATTCCACTATATATGCATTGGATCCGTCTATAACACTCTATTCTTTTCTTCGGGCGTCTTCCCCCTCCCGACGTGCCACCGCCGTCAGAGCCCACCGCCCCGCCGCAGTGCAGTTGTAGGGTCTCGTCGGAGCTCCGGGGCCATGGAGCTCCGGCGAGGTCCTACCACACCCACCGCGGCCTCCTCCTTCCCCTCCCCCCTCCCGCCGCTGCCATGGCCATGGGCGCCCCCCGCCCCGACCTGGCTAGGCTGCCTTCACCGCTGCCGAAACCCTAACGTTGTCCCCACCATCTGGCCGGCCTACCTCCCTCAAGGTCCTTCTAAGTCCACTGAAGTTAGAGAAGAAAAGGTGGAGAGGCCAGAGATGGAGATGAGAAAATTCGAGTGTTGATTGCTCCAAAACACTCGAGTGTTCTATAGCATTTCTCTATGCATTTTCTCACACTAGTCCATCCACTAGAATATTAGAAGACATAATCTATGGCGGCACAAATTTAGATTTTAATTTTGAATTTAGTCTTGTTAGTTGATACCGATTTTTATTCTTAAATTAAGTTGAAGTTCTTTTGTTTATTATATGTTTATTAACTCTCCTTTTGTATGTTATGAAAAATAAACATTTTAATTAACTACACTCTTTAAGTGTACCACGTTAGCATAAGTGGCCATGTATATTTTCTCATTTTTGTGAGAATTCTAAGGTATTTTTTTCTAGCATGTTTGGTGAGAATAAATGTGAATGCTCCGTTGTGGACATAGTTAGAATTGCTAGGCTTCCTCTCTTTTTTTTTCTAACATGATATATATATATATATATATATATATATATATATATTGCCAAAGGCGTGCGCACTGCTACTAGCTCGTTTGATGTTTCGATGGATCGTGCTGCTTGCATCGTCCTATATATACCGTATCGTACTGACGAGCGAGAGAAGTTGCTCATCCGGGTCCGTAGGCTTTAGACCTAGCTTCCCACGTAGACGTAGCCATGTCTATGTACCACCGGTACGTGTACTCTTGGTTAATTGCACGCTGCACTTGCAGAAATTTGACCTGTGACGCTGTTATGTATGTACATCACTATACAGGTCTGTTTGGCACAGCTTACAACAGTTCCATGAGCTATTGTGAGCTGTTTTATTTGTCAAATACTCATTTCTAAAACAGCTTCACCCATAAAGCTATTTTTCTCCTCCTCTCACAAACACATGAGTTGGAATAAAATTGAAAAAAGTAATTTATCCTAGCTCTCTCCCTCATTTCTCTCTCCCATCCATGCATGAAGTTATTGGTGAAGCTGTTTTGCCAAATAATTTTTTCAAAACAGCTCAACTTCACCTAAAAAGTTGCTCATGAAGCTATTTAAAAAATAAACAACTTTACTAGTAAAGCTGAGCTATGCCAAACAGACTCATAGTATATATATATATATATACAGTCTTTAAAACTCTTCTTCCGGCTTGCACACATACGTACCGTTCGTTGGACGCAATATTTCTATGCGCACTCAGGTACATATTCCCTCTGTCCTTAAACTCATTTGATATAATTTATATTTTTTATGAAGGAAACAGATAATTGTATAAAATTTGACATGGTACATCGATCTTCAAATTACATATAAGATCCGTGTGGTTCCCAGAAGTTAAGAGGAATTAAAAATAATCTAGTGATGAAATAGAAACCTCTTTCTAGTTTTCAATCAGATCCAAGCAGACCCTAAAAGACATGCTTCCATTGTCTTCTTGCCTAACGGCCTTGGTCGATACAACCAATGCTCTAGATCATCATAGCGTAGACCAGTCGAACACCAAAGCCAGAATACGGTCCTCATGTTGAATTTAGCGACCAACAACAAAACAATGGACATGCCACAAGATCCAATATTCGAGAACCAGACCGAAATGTTGAGTAATAGTATGAGCATTGTCCGCATACTAGTTAGATTAAATAACAGAAACAGAAATACTAGTACGAGCATTGCTCGCATACTAATTAGATTAAATAGCATTAACACATATATTGGTATGAGCATTGCTTGCATATTAGTTAGACTAAACATGAGCAATATCAATGTACTTGCCTGATGGTGGCGGCGACGGTGGTGGCTTGGAGCCTTTAGGGCAGCGGCCGCATTAATGTACTTGCCTGGTTTTTTCAACAAATTTAATCAAATTTAGCATGGTTTGACTTAGGATAGCTATTGTATTTTAGGTGAAGTGAATATAAACTACCACTTATATTTACCCTCCATGAAAGGATAGTGATGCAAGCATTTTTGATATGAATGGACCAAAAAAGGTCAATCCCTATAAACAACAATCCGCACTTGTCCTCCCAGTTGCAGATGATAAGCTGGCAGTTGTCATAATCCCACATGCATAGAATCACTGACCCAATGGTTCTTGCCATCTTTAGTTTGGAAGAAGTAGGAAATTAGTCTCCGGCACGAAAATGGTTCCATCCTCTACCTTATATATATTAAAGAGCGAAGTGGTTTTTCCGTCCATCTTTTCTTACTTGTGAAATCTACCTGAACTAACTCACGTTCAGAAATGATCCGTAGGCCGATTCTAAGACAACATATTGCATTCGGTTACAACGTTAGGACACAAGGGCTCGTTTTCATTTGTGATAGAAAATCATAACTGCGTTTTTTAGTATGAAATTTAATGGCAGCATTGTAAAAAAAATACACTACTAGGTGAAGTAGTACTCCCAAGGAAACGACAACAGGCTTCCTGTTTTCAGGCGGAGCGAGTGGCTACGAAAATGCTCCTACTACTAGACGACCCCCAGTCCCCCACCGTGTTGTCAACACCCTCCGGCGGTACCATTAGACTAGCCGCGGTTTGGCGATTCGGCGTGTTCTTGTACGCCATGCTTGTACACGTTCAGGCAGCCTTCTCGCGTCCTTCCAAGACTGCTGCTCGGGGGTCGGCGCATGCGGCATGCACTGCACGCACGCAGCCCCAGACGCCAAGTGGGCAGTCAGCGGCCTCCTTGTTACCTTGCGACAAGAGCAAGTACAGAAAGAAGAGGACTATAAATTTATAGTCGACTTAGACATAAAAATTAAAAAACTTTTAAAAGAAATAAATAAATTATGTATTATCAATGAAGAGCTAACTACTGATGCACTAAAAGAAAACTGTAAAGACCGCTGTATTATTAGGCTTGCTACACAAACTCCGGACATCCACGCATCCACCCATTCACCCGGGGCTCCGTTTCCCAGGCCCTGCCAGCGACGCCCTGATGGGCGATTGGGCATGGACGAGGACTACGATGCAGCCATGCCGGCGTCGCCAACTCTGCTGTCACTTGTCACCAACAGCAACAGGGATTGCCTGAAAAGCTTGTGCTGTGCAAGTGCAGCCTTGTAGCCTGCCTGCCTGACTCCGCATCCGCTCATCCATGCTGACGGGAGGGGCTTGTTCAACCTGACTCCGCAGCCAATGCCAGCAGTGCGAGGCAAAAGCTGCGGCTAAGCATCTTGCTCATCAGAATCCGAGTATAGGCATTCATACTCTTTGTATCTGTGATCGATCAAGATTCAAGACAGGCAGACAGACAGCCACATTGTCACCAATCTAATTCTTGCATAAAGCCTTCTTTAGATTCCAAGTTTTTTCACTCTCTCTCCATCATATCAAATCTTTGGACACATACATGGAGTATTAAATATAGATAAAAAAAATAACTAATTACACAGTTTGATTGTAAATTACGAGACAAATCTTTTAAGCCTAGTTATGCCATAATTGAACAATAATTGTCAAATACAAACGAAAGTGCTACAATGTCAAATTCTGATTCCTAACCCTCATCTAAATTACTTGTATCAGACATCGCTATATGTACATCTGTCACAACAATGGCAACCACTTCCCAATGTACACTGCAACATCTGCAAACAAAGGCAAAACAACTCGCAAACTGCATCCAGGACAAACAGGCCACTTTACCCTAAGCGCGACCAAAACCGCAGATAGCCCTAGGAAACTATAACTTCCTCTTGCCACAAACTATGAAATATCAGCAAAGGTATCCTGGGCCGTGTGCCAGGTGACTGCAAAAGGCGGCCACAAAAGCACAAGGTACCGCAGAAACTCGAGACTTGACTACCTACATGATTTATCTACTTGGGTCCTCTAACAAAACAAGGATCTCTTCATCCTCTATGGTTCCGCTGTCGATTGCATGCTGCAACGCAGTTCTACCATCACGGTCCTTGGCTTGAGAATCAGCACCCCTGCAAGGAAAGCGAGAGTAAATTATAAACTCCTCGTCTCTGTAGTTTCCTGGACTTTCGCAATTTGCTGTTAAGCTACAACCAGCATGATAACTTCTGCATACCTGGAAAGCAGTAGCTTGGCGAACACACGTCTCCCTTTCATGATGCTGTGATGAAGTGGTGTCTGCCCTCTTGAATCTGTAGAATTTACATTTGCACCGTACTGCAAGAGTAGTTCAACCATGCCCAGGTCCGCAACGCGACATGCTAGATGAAGCAAAGATAATCCTTCAACATACTCATCCAATCCATCTATACGGGCACTTGTGCTGGCAGGAGAAACAGAATCTCCAGTAGAACCCTTCTCAAGTGGATTGCGGTCAAAACATCTAGAACTTCCATTAGATGGAGAAGTTGATTGCTCTTGTAGAAGGAGAGCTTTTCCCAGAGTCAAAGCCGAATTAAATGATGTATGACCGTAAGAAAAATTTACATCGGCATTTGACCCCACAATCAAACTGTACACCCCCTTCTTGTTGTTTGAACTTACATTGTCCCACATCTGTTCTGCAAGTTGAATCTCATCCACGTTATGTTTCCGCACAAAATCCTTTTCAGCATACTGAAATAATCAAGAGAAAAATAATCAACAGCTAATTAAACTTTAGAAAGTTACAAAAAAAAATCTCTCAACTTCTTTTTCAGCAGAAGACAGTGATGCAATAAAAGTTATGATCAGTATAATTCATGGACATTTCCTAAGAACAGACGTAACCTATAGATGCTTCTCATGTAACACATCATTTGATTTGATACATATAAATTCACAATATTGCTGATCAGTGGTGTAATAATTCTTTGTTGAAAAATTAGAATAAACAGTACTAACAAAAGAACTATGAAGTACTCCCTCCATCCCATAATACTTAACCTTCTACACTTGTCCCAAACTCACTTCCCAATGTTTCTCTTTTCCCAAATCTCTCTTCTCGTTTCATGTACACTACACCCTTTTTTCACTCCTTAATTCCCGTGCCCAGAGCTAAGACGTCATCTATTATGAGACGGAGGGAGTACCTTGGCATGAATAAATTTCTCCTTCACTGCGATAGAATCAGATTGTTTAGGCTTGCTGGGTGCAAAGCCATGTGATATGTTCTCTAATCCATCAGCCCTGCATAAAGTAGAACTTGCAAGTTATGGCAACAAAAGGACAATAAATTCTACAGCTTTTGTAATGTTAGTTACTTTGTAAGACTTTTTGTAATGTTACCTTGAAATATCACCATGGTCAACACAGCTTGATGAAGGTAACATTTCTTCCCAGACAGTATTGGCAAACGTGTTGCCTATTGACTGAAAGAGATTGATTACAGATGGCTCCCAAACCCTGACATCAAGCGTCAGGGATCTTACCTGCCAATACAATGTAAATTTCAGTCCATTGGTCACATTAATGATGACTTCAGTGAAATATACCAAATTTACGGTAGAGAGCTATAATAGTCACTATACTGCAACCTACAGTGCCTGGTTGGCACAAAGCATGGGTAATGCACAGATACACAAGTATCATCCAAGACTCCCAACAAATTCTGATTGCAGAACAATATTCTACAGTTATGCGATCAAACTTTTGTTAATGTAAATTGCAGACAAGGCTTCTAATTTACCTTAGATATATGCACACCCATATTTCTGTGTACTCCAGAACACTCTATGCATAAAAGAACTCCAAGGTTCAGGGATGCCCAATCAGGCTCTGAAGCACCACAATCAGCACAGCTATTATTGCCAGCCACCTTCCTAAGCAAGTCAATTGGCTTGTCAGGTTTCATCATGCTTGTTCGGTGATGCTGTGCAACTCTTGTAGAATGCTCGAAATAACCACTCCCTGAGTTCTTTTCCAGCATACAATCTTCATTTATTGAATGTTCAAGTTCTGTTGAGCTACTGAATGAACTGCTTGAGCTGGCAGTTCGATGATGGCTGCTGCCCTTAGGACTCAATAGAAGACGCTGTAAACAAAATACAGATGTCACATAAATCAAATTCGATATGTAAATAATTCAATGTTCACTACTCATCCCTTACTCGTTCAGGGGACTGGGAGCTCAGCAAAGAAGCAATGACGCCAGTAATTTTTTCAATCCAATCCATCTGATCCATTGCACTCTCTGCCTGCACAATTTCCGGTGCATATCACCAGACAGAAATCAATATCACGAGTATGGCTATTGATCAACTTCATAAAACATCGCCCTGTATAAAGAAAAAAGAGATATCAAAATATGCATTTAAGCTTCATACCTGCAATGTATAGTTCTTTGTGGGAGAAATTATTCTGAAGCAGAACCGCAGATCTGATTGGTCTGCATCAACTTTAATGGTCGATGTTAGCAAGTTTACAGTATGGCGTGCAACTGATTTCTCATCATGCACGCCTCCATGATAATGAGAAGAGAACCATCTGCTGAGCAGCCCAGAACCATGTTCTGAGGGAATGCTAGTTCTTTGGTTAGAATAACCACTCTACAAAATCAAAATTGGGACAAAAATGATGAGGTAATATTAACTGAAACACTAATCAAGTGTGTGAAAAAATTATTTCAGATCATTGTAAAGTGTTGTGAGAATGCTTACAGATGGCCTACTGTTCTGCTTGCGATAATAGTATAACATTCCTCGACTGTCGAGGACAAAGAACCTCCTTTTCCAATCACCTCTCAAGTTTGAAGATCTCTTAGAGAGATAGCCTTGGCGAATGGTCTGAACCTGAAAATAGTTGCTTACTTTTCAGTATAAAACATGCATCTTCTTTGATGAAATTGCACAACCATGCATGCATGCATATTGTCGTGATAGTTCCAGCATCCGGTTACCTTGCCCTTTGAAGCTGATTGCATTGCTTCCTCAATCATCTTATGCGAACTTCTACCAATTGTTTGTATTCCATCACCATTAGGGGAATCATTCATTCCATTTGGTGACCACCGACTTTCACGATCAATTTGCCGTTTGAACTCTTGCATCCTCTCAAGAAGAGCAGCCTGCTCATAGTTAGACCTTTCTCTTGATTGTTGTGCAAAAGCAAGAACCTGCAAAAAGAGAGAGAGAGCGTGATGTAAGCAACGTTTGTCAGATTCAGAAAATGGAAAGGGAAGGAGGGGGTTATGTCTGTAATTGCATAATTCAATAACCGAGTGGGATGCATTGTAATTCACAAAACCATTATAAAACAAAAGAAATGAAGGTGATCGCCATTCAGTAAGAAATGTGATGGGCAAGAGAGTTACTTGATTGATATACGGTTCCATCTGATGTAGTAGTTCATATCCCTGAAGAAATAGCAACAGAGGAAGTTTGAATCACATTTGTACATAACCTAGAAATGTCAATATGAAAATAATGGCAAGGATATACTTGTTTGAAATAACGAAGATGAGCATCCATTGTCCCACTAACAGCCTCCAAAAATTCAAACCTTTTCTTAGCCTCGATATTTGAAAGTGCAGTCACCTGAATTTAAATACAGATAAGACAAAGGCATTCCAACTATGTAAATAAGGAATCCTGAACAGTGACAAGTAAACAGGGTATGTACCAGATTGAAACGAGCTTGCTCAAATGAAGACCTGGCACTGTGAAGCTCCTGATTATGTCACAAGCAATTTAGTGGCAGCAAGTAACCTTATCGTTCAAGTTTGGAAAGACACTCAATAAGGTCAAGGTAATCTTACATCCTCTACTGCAGTTGCTACGTCAGTCCTTGTACCTTTCTTCAAGGACAAATACTTTTCACGTGCCTGGTTAAGAAAACAAAAACAAGTGGAAATCAGAAACAAGCCTTCTAAAACCAACTTAAGCTTTGTTTATAATGTGCCAGTAACTGACGTGTGAAGCATGATGGCCCATATCAAAAAGAAAACAAAGCTACAAACTCAGTGCTATAGAGTAGCAAAATTAGCCCCATGGGACAAACGGCGGACACTTTTCATCCTAGACAACTTACTAGTACAATTTCTTATCAGTTAGAATTCGGTAGCTGGAAAAGAAAAAGAAAAATAACACCTAAGCGAACTGGCCAACACATCTAGAGATCTTTCCAACTCCAGTGCAAGTTGGCTTAGCTATTAGGTTCACAGGTAAATAGAATGGAACAATTGATCATTTCTACCATAATAAGCTATTATACAAGATTTTGAATCTACTTGTTCGGCCATGTGAAATAGCATTGAAGTATTACCTGGTCATAAAGAAGGGTAGCCTTGTCAAAATGTTTCCTAGCATCCTGTGCAAATGTTATCAAATTAACACCATATAAAATTCAAGTGTGAATTCTACAGATTCAATGTTTTATAGAAAACTATGTCAATACCTTCATTTCATGTAAATCAATCTCCACAAACTGGAGCAGCTTGTCATTTAGCATATGCTCGACCTATCACAACAATACAACAGCAGTTATACCACATAAGGTGGAAGTGTAATTGCAAGTTTGTAATACCTAAAAAATGGGATTAGTTCCACCCTCGGTGATGAATGCACGGGGATATGATTTCAATACAACCACAAGGATGAATTCAACCATGCAATTGTCGAAATAACAATAAAATAAAATACTGTAGAGTGAGTAGATTAGCCATAGACAAGTTACGGTATCTTAATGATTGGTGACAGACAAAAGTATTCTTGATGAAAAGCACTACCATAGTAATGTACATACTGATGCTCTACCTGGGAGCGCAATACTTCCTTGTATGTTCCAATTTCTCTCAAAGCAATTGTAAATTTGGTCATTACAGGCCCTGCAAAAGAGGTAAATGTCGTAATGTACAAGAGAACCAACCAATTAGGAAAGAAAAAGGGCAAAACATGAAAACAGGAGAAATTTATCATGCTCGTATCACGAATTCAGGTTTTGAATACATGTATTTGAATGAGAACCACATTACTAACCTCCAAATGCAACACTGATTTCATCATTATGACCCCCTCCAAATGTTTCAAGTGAACTTGCAAATGCAATATCTCCATCATATGCTTCCCCTAGTCCTTCCCTGAAACAAAAGTAGAAATTAGAGAGGCATAGAGAAACCCCGAATTAAAACCCAACCCATATAATCTGATAATAAAATTCACAAATCAGAGATGGAACTTTCAGGTTTGGTAAGCCCAAATATGCTACATAAATGGCACATTATCACTTACGTGTATTTTCGACAACCTTTGTGAAACTTTAAACATCTCTCTCTTAGCAAGTCAGCTCCTTCTTCAAGCGATTGCATCTATTAATGCAAGGAACAAGTTAAGCAGTATTCATGAACCAAAGGAAGCAAGTTCTTTGGCCGAATGTATCGACGCAAGGAATACAAGTTAAGCAGTGTTAATGCAATATCCCCAAATGTAATACAAAGGTTAGGTTAGCCTCACCGAATCTATACTATGTTTCACACAGAAATCGAACAAGCTATTAAGCATGAATAAAATTGAAGACACCTACTTTGGCTGAATAACAGATAATTTACGATTCCTCAGAGTCCTTGCATTTTTGTCCAAATCATGACAAAAACTAAACCATACATTCAAGCAACCCACAAATGAATCAAACATTTCCAAAAATGTACACCAAACTATCACAATGTATGCCAAATTTATACATTGACAGGCAAGCTATGCTACCAGTTTTGCATTGAAAAAACAATAAATTGTCAAAAGAAAATAGCAACCAAAATACTAGATCATAGAGAATTGGCAAAAGAAGAAACACAGCAAAGGGCTAAAGTTTGACACTGGTTTGTATGTATCAGTATAGTCTAACAACACAAAGTGCAGCTGTGAAAACATCAGACAGGCCACAGAACGGTTAAAAGGAAGCCTTAAACCTGTAGCTCCTGCACTATTGGTTCAAAATTGAATTCGAGAGCAGCACAACCCGAAAACAAGGGCAGATCCATGCAACCACCCGCAGCCCAATCCGGGAGCCACCGGAGCCAAGCATTGCGCACAAAGCTGAAACATTTCTCTCTCCCGCCCGCCCGAGAGGCCGACATCAACATCCCAACCACTACGCAGGATCCACAGACAGCATGAACCAAGATCCGGCTCGCCCCCTCACCTGCTTCCTGAACATGGGCGAGTCATCGAGCCTGCTGAAAAACATGGCTGCCTCCGCCTGTCCCGCCGCCGCCGCCGCTGCCACTTATTCGCTCCACACGGCCACACTACCTCCTCAAAGGCCGCCGCAGCATCTGATAGACTCGCTCCCTGGAGACCGCGCTCCGCAGCCACCGGGACCACAACACCACCACCACCACCACCACCACCTCCACCTCCTCTCCGCAAAACCGCCCCTCCACCTTCGGCCGCCGCGCGCGACACTGGGAACGCGACCCACAGACGCAGCCCTCCGACTACGCTGGCACCGAAACCCTAGGCAGCGGCCGGAATCGGTGAAATGGCGGCGATTTGCTTGGGGGAGCGGAGAGGAGAGGAATCGAATGGCTCGGCGAGAGGGGAGGGGACACGCAGGGGGGAGGAGACAGGGAGGGGTAAAGAGAAAAGTGTGAGATGGAAAATAACGGTGCGCTTTATTTCTGATTAATAAGTCTAATTGCAGTTTATTACTAGTAATAGTTTTGGTTTTTATTTTATTATTATATCGCTGATCATGTGGAAGTCTGGGAGTGGCGTGGTAGGCCTGGTGTATCGTGGTTCCGATACGTGGGGCCCGGACGCAGCCAGTGGGGGTGAGAGGAGGCGGGTCACCTACCGGTGAGTGGATGGGTGACTTACCGTTGATTGCCCCGTGTGTGCACTTGTCATTTCCTTATTTTAAAATTTAAAAATAAAAGGTAAATAAAGAAGAGAAAAAACAGGAACTTTTGCACTGGTCAAAAGAAGATGAGTAGCAGAGTTCTATAGAGCCAAAAAGTGTAAGAAAACATGCCATTTTACACCTCTGTTTTTGTCATGCTTTGTTAACTAAATACAATAACAGGGCAAAGTTATTGAATTCGGATTGATTGATAATCTGAGCCAAAAAAAACATGAATCACAGCCTCCACGTGTTCCATCCGTGCCAAGTATAGTACACTAATCCAACTAGGTTAAGACTTGTTTGATATATGCGTATCTACCCCAATCCAAATATATAGTAGTGGATTGATGTGGAAATTAAATTAAGTTATGTTATAATCCACTCCACGCACACGAATTAAGATTGATACGAGTACATCCAAACAAAAGCCTTTATATAGTTTGTATTGTTAAAAGGCCAATCGACTACCGTATGTGCTACTCGAGTAACCATGGCTACATGGAGGCACGACCTTGTCCTTGTCAAGGAGAGTTGCCACCATTTGAACTGGTTAGACTAATAAGACCATGAATCGGAGCCTTCACGCGTCCAATGTTCAATCTAGTGTTAATAACCATGTACGAAGGAATGCATTGACTTAGAAAGATGAGAGACAATTGTGGAAGTAAGTCGGTGTGATCATAGGGTGAAACCCACACCTGCAGGGTAAGAGAAGGTTGTTAGTGATTAGATAAACCAAACTTTGCATAACAAATTAGAAAAATATGCGATAGGTAACAACAACATCACAGAAAGGATATGCAAGGGCATTGACTTCTTAATACTAGTAAACAATGGTGACTAGAAGTGTTTATAGCTAGTGAAATGTTCAAAATGAGGCAATGGAAAGCATCTCCAATAGTTCCCTATCTAATATCTTGAAGTTAAAGTTCAGCAAAAATCAGCCACCGGTAGTATCCAACACGCTAGTGCAAATAAGTTTAAACTCCAATAACAATGAAACATATACTATGCCCGGCCCCCAGACTTAATACGATATAGGGTGCAGCTGATAGCCCGAGGGTCATGACCGAGTGTACCAGCAAGTAGGAGTAGTTCAGCTGGACAAGAGACGAGAAGAAAGAAAAAAAAAACAGCTAGAAATGGAGGTGAAGGTGATGGGGTAACCTCACCGGCGGACGATCGAGAGGCGCGACAGTGATCATGGCACGAACAGCGCAGCTTTCGATTTAAATTCAGTTTTTATATTTCGTTCTTGGGCCAAACAACAACACGTACTACCAAGAGGAGACAGTTCGGAGAGTGGGTTTCGGCTTTATTGGATGCCGCCTCCCCTGCGGGCCCACCAACCCACAAAAACTGCTACATACTCGGGCTAAGCTGGTGATTAAAAAAATACCACAGTACTCCCCGTATGCAGAATCAGACGGTTTAAAAGAATTTTTTAAGGCGGCATAACCCGTCGTCAAGAAGATAATGGAACTGGACAAACACATGAGCTCTTTTTTTTTTTTGTCGATTGTGCCTCCCTAATCATGCTAGTGTTCTTTTCCATGTATTAGGTTTCGTTTTTAACTTGTACTCCCCTTTAATGCATCCCATACATAAACTAATTTCATCATCACGAGTCAAAACTGATTATCTTATTTGCCCACGACCAGCGCAAATTCCCGTTGCGGTCTGCATTGGAAATATTTAATAATTCCTTGAATAGCTAAGATTGGCAACCGTAGCACAGGACTTTTTCTATTGCAGAATGTTTAAGCATTCAAACAAATATAGGCGTATAACTTTGGATGCAAACCTTACTTGATTGCCAAGGCCCTCTGACATGATTAAAGAGGCAGCGACTGAAGATCTCCAGAATCGATAGCTGTATGTTCCCTTTTGCCTCCAAACCGATCAGTACCTTTGTCAGCTCATAATAAGCTATGTAAAGATTGATGAATCATGATGTAGTTAAACTGAAACGCGTCCTAAAACCAGTTTCAGGTATAGACGGACAGTGCACCGGTTTCGGGTAGGAAGTGGGCAGGCAGTCGGCCGACCCGAGGAGGCCTGGCGACGGCGACGGATGGGTACGACATGATTGTGTTCACTGCCAGGCTTCCTCCCCACTCTTTTGGTTTGAGCGGGGTTGGCGCCCACTTCTGCGAGTCCGCTGTTTCTCCCCGGTCCGCTCACCTCTGCTTTGCACTCCTCCAGTCCTCCCCACACACACAGCCCTTGTTTAGTTCCAGGAAGTTAGAATTTAGGGTTACTAGAATTTGGGGTTACTGTAGCATCTTCGTTTTTATTTAGCAATTAGTGTTTAAACATGAACTAATTAGGCTTAAAACGTTCGTCTCGTAATTTTTCACTAAACTGTGCAATTAGTTTTTTTTCGTCTACATTTAATGCTCCATGCATATGCCAGAAACATTCGATGTGACAGATACTGTAACACTTTTTAGGATTTTGGGGTCCAACTAAACACGCGCACAATCTGAGCGAATTTAAGGGTAAATCATAAATGGCTCTGCTAATTGTGCAAGTACTGTAGTTCAGCGTTTCCCGTTTGACCGTTTCCAATCCACCCTGGGTGAGAAGACAGAAGAGATGCGGCGGGACGGGAAACGGAGCACGCGAACGGACAGGCCCAGCATGGGACAACAAAGCATGTCGCGGACACAACTCTAAAGACGCCGCCCTTCGTTTGGGACGGCAATGATTCCAGCACGGTGCCACCGTCCGGACTGCACTGCCGCTGCGCGCTAGTGGCTGCCTCCTGGGCTCCTGGCCGGCACGCCCAGCACGCACGGACGTCGCCGTCACCCTCCGCACGGCGCCGCTCCGGTCACCGGCGGTGGCCGGAACGTGCGTGAAGGACAAGGCTCGCGCTCCAGTGACGTACTCCGAACTGGAGGCACGTACGGGTACTACTGGAGGCACAGCACAGCTGCCGACCCTGCTGCTGCCTCGGCCTGCTAGTCTGCTACTGGAGGCACAGGAATCTCTCTCTGGCTCTGTTCCTTGCGGCCGGGCCTCCTTGGCCGCCTGTTCGGCTCGTGTATAACTTGTGTTGATTTATATGATAAACTGGCTTATAAGCTGCCGTCCACTCCACCGGGCCAGAGAAGGTACGAGACACCACCTCCTTTTGCCATCGCTTTCGCGTTTTCCATGTTTTTGTTGATCCTTGCCGCAACGAAAAAAGAGCTTCGGTCAGCTGCTGGTACGGCACCCCGGTTGAGCTTTCGAGGCGTGCAAAAATACGTACCGGTTCTAATGACAACGGACGTTTCTTTCAGAAACAAATGATATGAGAAAATTGAGAATAGTCGAGGGATTCGTATATGTAGTACGCGGTTGGTGCTTGCTCCTGAAGGCTCTCACCTGAAAACCTCCCTTTCCCCAGGGCTGGCCGGCTGCGCACAAGGTTTGTCTCCTCTCCGGCCGGCTCTCCCATAGTCCCATGAGGCAGCCATGCCATGACGCCTGAGATTGGCCGGTAGCGAGAGCAGCGCGACCGCGAGAGCGAGACCATGCGGGGAGCACGAACAAAAAAGATAAAAGATGGAGGGGGCCATGTGGGGGAGAGCGGAGAGGAGGCGCGGAGGGAGGACCGGAGGAGGCAGAGGTGATGGGTGGAGCAGAGCCGTTGTCACTTGTCAGACGCGGCTGCCGTCGCAGTCGGGCGTCCGCTCCTGCCGCCTGCCGGCAGGGTCGGTCTCGTGGCCCGTGGGTGGTGCGGGGCGGCAAGGGTGCGCGTGCGTGCGAGCGGCGGGCGAGACACAGACAGGTTGAGACGTGCCGGTCTCGTCGCCCGGGCGTTTCAAGTACTCATTGCTTCTAAATACGGCCTTTCCTAGTGATCAAAACCAAGACCTTCACTCTCTGGGATTCACGTGCAATTTTTACCGAAGGTGGACCAGCGACCATGTAGGTAAAAAAACCGTACCGTTTAGTTCTCGGCACGAGATGAATCTTTTGATATTCGTTGGTGGTTTCGGCTGAGCTGAATATTTACCAATAAGGCCGTCTTCTTATTCATCGCGTTGAAATTTTTTTCTAAGGCCTCGTTTAGTTGATCCAGAATGCAAAATTTGACAAGTTATCAAAAAAGAATTCCCCGTCACATATTATAAATTTTAAGTGATAAGTTCAAACGACCACATGTCTGATCCCAAACGACCACATGTCTGATCCGGCACCGGCTGCCAGGTGCCAAGCAACGACAGACGAGTACTGCTACCTATAGCGATTGACGTGCGGCGTCAGCCAAATAAAAACAAATATTACCCCAGGCCCCAGTACATCTCTTTTTTGGGCGGCGCCGAATCGGCTGATGAACTAAACGCGGCCTAAACAAGGCCTACGTTTCCTCGTGATCGGGACCGGACCTGATGAGATGGGATTGGCGTGCCGTGGACCGAAGGTGGACCAGCGACCAGACATCGCCGTACCGTACGTTCTCGGCTAGCGGTCATATTCGTGGCTGGTTTCGGCTGGAGCTGAATGGGCCTTCCGGCCCAGCCGTGCTGGCGTTGCAAATACTCCTAGTCTTTGCGACACGCCAAAACCTCGACGATCCGGCACCGGCTGCCGAGTGCCAAGCACAGACAGACGAGTACTACTCCCTATAGCTGATCGACGTGCGGCGTCAGCTAACAAGGCCCTGCTCCCCCCCCAGGGCCCCCAGGGCCCCAGGCTGCGCGCCTGCTACCGGAATGAAGATGCTACGCTAGTGCCCTGCCAAGAGCACCCAATATCTCATCCTTGGCCCATGTTGCAGATTTAGGCCATGTCACCAATTTGACCTGTTTTGGCCCTAATCAACCCTAACTTGATATTTAACCGTTGGATCAAAATATAGGGCTGAGATTTCAATCTCCTTTAGCAATTAGCAGCCACGCTCTTCTCTCCCTCTTAGTTTTTCTTTGCTCGAGCAGAATCCGTGGCGACAGAGGCAAGGTGTCGGGCATGCCGGCAAGGCTCTCATAGAAGAGCTTGTCGTGGAGCACGACGACAAAGCCTCGGGCTCGAGCGGTTGGTGGCCACCGACAGCTACGCCGACGACGGGACCGTCCTTGGCACGTGGCACATGGACCTCCAGCTTGAGCGTGAACCACACCGTTGTCATTGGCGGAGACACTTGTCCTCCTCGTCCCGTGCAACACCACCATAGTGCGTGGATGCCGCTGCGGACTCGACATGGAGGCCGACACAGGCATGCCATGGACGAGCTGGTATGAGCTCTCCGTGGACGTTGGCTCGGGCTCGTGGTGGAGTCCGATGCGAGCACGTCGTGGACGAGCTAGAGTGAGCTTGCCATGGACGCCGGTGCGGGGGCTCGCCGCGGAGGAGCGTCGATGTGGAAGAAGAACGTCCAGAGCATCATGGTTTTGTGGGTCCTAGCCGGGATGTAACTCTCCCTTTATTTGATGGGAGGTGAGCAATATTGATGGAAAAAAAAAGGAGAGCTATTAAGGATTGCTGGACCAAGAGTCATCTCTCTTAGTATGATAGTTTTATGGGAATGGTGACCGAGATTGAGGGACCGCTGGAGATGCTCTAAAGTCTAAACAGTGACAAAGTTGAGTTATAACTTATGGGTGCACATGCACCTATAAAAATTAAAAAAAACAATATTAAAATCAAAATTTCACCATGGTTTTAGCTTAATTTTTCACACAAGACAATTGCATCATCCTCTAATTTTCTCTAGCTTCACCACTTGCTCTAAATGACCATGACTATACGCTAAGGCTATACCACTAGTAGGTTAGCTGTCATGCGCCAAATATATAGACAGGAAGGAACAACATGTAAGCATAGCCAGTAGCTATGAGCATAGCATTAGTTCATGGCAGTGATGTCCTCGCGTGAAAACTACTAGTACCTTTTATCAATAAAATTGCCTACAACTGCTACCGGATTTAATTTTGTCCACTGGCCTGTGTGAATTCCTTCTCAAATTCGATTCAAGTCCATCTCAGTAGCAGTACTAGGTGGGTGCAGAAAAACACCAAGGACTTACAGAGCAACCAAAATTTCCTCAAGAAGCTCGGATGCACCAAAACTGGATAGGTTCTTTGGAGGCCGATTGAACAACCTGATACCAAAGTCTACAAGCTTATATATTCTCGTGGAACTGTGGAAGTCAACTTGAATCCTAGCGTCACCTTTGTCTCCGCCCTGCCGCTCCTCGACTGACGACCTCGATAGTGTCTCCGCTCCTGCCGCTCCCCAGCCTCTTCTCCTAGTGCAATTTTTAGTTAGTGTTTAAGTGCTTGTGAGTTGGCCTGGATGGATGCCATGTAGGGTGGATTTCAGTCAGTGCCTCCTCCTATTTGTTGTCGTTAACATCTGTTATGTTGCACTCTTCGAGTTCAGCGAGGTGAGACCAGTTTATCCTCTTCCCTCCATCCCCCTATTGGATTTGTCGGCACCCTCGCCGCCTCTGTCTCTTAATCGCCTCTGTCTCTAATCGCCACAATAGGGATTCGCGTCAATTCATTAGCAGAAGTCATATGTCTATCCAGGGCCAAGGCCGATCTAGTTGTTCTTCTACGGGGCAAAGAGTTTTTTTAATCATGAGAATCCTCAGGCTCTTTTGTGTGTTTGTTGTTGCAGTCAGCACGGTTCTAGTGGCCTCTGATGTAGATCCGATCGGCCGCCCTGTGGTTTTGCTCCCTTACAAACTGGTCTGCTGGTTGGTGATGGCTATACCTGGGCAAAACGAGCCACGCCCGTGGGCCCGGCCTAAGCCCGATGGGTTTTAGCCCGCCCACGAGCCTTACTGGACAGGGTCTGGGCAGAGATCCTGCTGCCCAGATTTTTTTTTGGCCCGAGCGCAGCCCTAAATATAGTTTTTTGCTATTTTACACTATAAAATACGCGGGCGGCCCGCCCAGGCACGGTCCCGGCCCGAAAAATTAGACCCGACTTGCCCAGTGGGACGGTCATGGACGGGACTTTTTCGGCCTGAAATAACTAGCCTTTTTTTTAGCCCGGCCCGAACCCGGCCCGGCCTGCAAAATGCTCAGGTCTAGGCCTAGTGATGGCCATGAGAACCACATCTGCCTTGGCAGCAACTCTATGCTAACATCCGACTACAAGCCGCCTTCGTCAAATTCTTCTTCATCTTCATCGTATGAGAAACATGCCGCCAACCACCTTAGGTTTGTTGGATGTTGTTCACTACCCTCTGTTGACTGCTCCTATCTCATCTCTTGATTCAACAAATGTGTTCTTCATTGACAACTTCCTTGCCCTTGATCAACCTTGGCTTGGTGAGATCTTTCCACTAGAATATTAGGCGCTTGTGGCTCCTTTGTTGCCCCTGCTCAATGGTGTACTAATTGAGCGCTTAAGGCCACAACACAAGTACTACCAGGTTGGTCGCTATGCTCTATGAAAAGATCAAGATGCCCAAGAGAGGGGTGAATTGGGCTAATTCTAAAATTATTTACAATAATTAAACCCTACGGTTAACCCACTTCACCCCTTGTACCTAGAAAGTGTTTCTATTATTCTACCGCACAAATATTTAGCAACCTATGTTCCAATCCTACTCTAGAATGACAATTCTATAAATGTAAAGACAAGAGTTAAATTGCTCAAAGTAAATGCTTAAAGTAAAGAGAGAAGGAGGAACACGACGATGTTTTGTCGAGGTATCGGAGAGTCGCCACTCCCCACTAGTCCTCGTTGGAGCACCCGCGCAAGGGTGTAGCTCTCCCTTGATCCGCACAAGGATCAAGTGCTCTCTACGGGTTGATTCTTCGACACTCCGTCGCGATGAATCACCCACAACCGCTCACAACTTGAGTTGGTTCATCCACAATCTCCGTCGGATGATCACCAAGCTCCCAATCACCACCAAGCCGTCTAGGTGATGGCGATCATCAAGAGTAACAAGCACGAACTCTCACTTGACCACGACAAGCCTAATGAGAAGGGTGGATGCACACTTTGCTACTCTTGCTTTCACTAATGAGGCCTCTCTCTTGGATTCTCAAATCTCAATCACATCACCAGGACCTTGCTCTTCTTGGCACTCTCAAGGTTGTTTCTCAGCTGTTGAAATGAGCAAAAGTGATCTCTTAAGTGAATAGAGGAAGTATTTATAACCCCTCATTCAAAACAAACCGTTATGTGACACTGCGAGGTGACCGGACGCTCCGGTCAAGGTGACCGGACGCTCCGGTCAGTTCTCCCCGCAACCAAGCAGTTAAGTTGTGACCGAACTTTGACCAGCGTCCGGTCAGCATTGACCGGACGCGTCCGGTCAGAAAAACTGCTCTCTGAACCTTACTGATGTTGACCAAACTCTGGAACCCAGCGTCCGGTCACTTTGCTGCTCAGCGTCTGATCAGTAGCCGGAACCTGACCAGCGTCCGGTCAGCACTGACCGGACACGTCCGATCAGGATTCTCCCTCTCTGGAACCTTACTAGAGTTGACCAAACTCTAGCACTCAGCGTCCGGTCACTCACCTCTCAGCGTCCGGTCACAACCAGACGACTTCACCTTGATCAAATGAACTGACCGGACTCTGCGCCAGCGTCCGGTCACACCGGAACAAG